CAGCTTCTTGTGCCCCTCAGCAGCCTCCACGGCAGGGCAGTATGAGAAGCTGAAAAGCCCCTGACTTAAGTGTAAGCACTGCTCAGCAACAACTAAAATACCAGTGTGTTATCTACGTTATTCTCATCCTAAATCCAAACCACAGCGCTATACCAGCTACTAGGAAGAAAACTAACTCTGTCCCAGCTGAAACCAGGACAAGTACTGGCATTTTCAGCCACAAAATGTTCCTGCAAAATATTTTCGCACTAGAGGTGCTCATCATTTTAATCTCTATCTCACAGTTTTGAATCTTCAATAATTAGAAATCGCCTCAGGAAACCTGGCAGCCGACGAGGACATGTGGGAATCTGCCTGAAACCTCGTCCCTTCCCCCTGGGAATCTCCTCCTCGCTCCCAGGAGCCCGGGGATGACTCACGTGGCACCGGCGCCTCTCGCACCGGGCGATGCCGCCCAGCCGTGGGCAAGCACCGACCCGCAGCAGCGCCGGCCTCAGCAGGTAAGCGGCATGAAAACTGTCCTCTGCTGCAGCCCCCCACCCTGGAAAAGTGGGGCTGGGGCTGGGGAAGACGCATCTGCCGCGGGGTGCACGCTGCAGAGCCCGCCCCGACGCCAGGGTGATGGGCACATCCTGGGCGGCTGGCTGAGGTGTTCATGGGGGAAGGAGAAATCTGGGGGCTGTGTGTGTGTGCCCCCAAGGATCGACCCAGCGAGGCAGGGGCTGCCGGCTCCCCCGGGAGGTAGGTGCTCCCCGGGAGCGTCTGTGGACACCCCAGCCCTGCGAGCAGGCACGGTGCACGGGCCGGGCTCTGCCTTCACCCCTGCGAGCTCTGCCGCAGAGGGGGAGCCTCGTTATTTTACTGGTAGGTAAAATATTTAAGGAGAGTCAGTCCCGCTCAGCCGCGGCCCCAGCCTGGGGTGTGTTCATGGGGCACGATGCAATCCGGGGTCAAATGAACTGCGCGGGGTCCTGGGGCTGGCGCGGGCTGAGATCGGTCCGAGCTGATGAAAAATGGTTGTTGTGGCCACTCAGCCCTGGCTCAGCACCTCGGCACTGCCTGGGGCCCTGCAGCCCCCCCGGCTCACCCACGGCCTCCGCCCCGCGGTGCCTGCTTGCCATGGGCTCTCCCGGCGCGTGGGCACGGCGTGGGCCAGCACAGGCTCCCCCCACGCTGCCGGGCGGGAGAGCAGAGGCGACGGCAGATTCCAGCGATGGGAGAGGACGCGGCGGCAGCGGAGCCGCAGAGCTGCCGGGTGAGTCACGTCCCGGCTGCTCCTATTTGCCTCTGCCTGGGCCAGGCCTGGCAACGTGAGGAGAATTAATAACAAATACCTGGGCAACGAGGTGAGAGATGGGGCGGGCGGCGCAGGATGGCACGGGGCTGAGCACAAGTTTTGCTCGGTCCCCGCGACCCTGCGGTGCTCTGGGAAGACGCATCGCCCGGACCAGATCTGTACTGGGGCACGTGTGGGTGTGTGTCCCTGCGTGAGGAGCAGGGACGGTCCCCAAGGGCACGTGGGCAGGAGCGTGGCTCGGTGCTTTGGGGCACACGGGTGCTCCGATGGGACCTCTCGCTGCTTCTGCGCTGTCACTGCATTTTCTCTCTCCACCCAGGGTAGCTAACAGGACTGGGGGACCATGAACTGGGAGGTGTTCAAAGGGCTCCTCAGCGGGGCCAACAAGTACTCCACAGCCTTCGGCCGCATCTGGCTCTCCCTCGTCTTCATCTTCCGCCTGCTGGTCTACGTGGTGGCGGCCGAGCGGGTCTGGAGCGACGACCACAAGGACTTTGACTGCAACACGCGGCAGCCGGGCTGCACCAACGTCTGCTACGACCACTTCTTCCCCGTCTCCCACATCCGCCTCTGGGCCCTGCAGCTCATCCTGGTGACCTGCCCGTCCCTCCTGGTCATCATGCACGTGGCCTACCGGAAGGCCAAGGAGCAGAGGCACCGCTCTGCCGGCAGGGACGACCACCGCTGCACGTACCCTGACCCTGGCAAGAAGCGGGGGGGGCTGTGGTGGACCTACCTGCTCAGCCTCGTCTTCAAGGCCGGCGTGGACGTGGTCTTCCTCTACATCTTCTACCGCTTCTACAGGAACTACACCCTGCCCCGGCTGGTGAAGTGTGAGCTGCCCCCCTGCCCCAACGTGGTGGACTGCTTCATCTCCCGGCCCACCGAGAAGAGCATCTTCACCCTCTTCATGGTGGTCATCACCTGCATCTGCATCGTGCTGAGCCTCGTCGAGGCCACCTACCTCATTGGCAAGCGGTGTCACGAGTGCCTCCTGGCCAGCAGCGGGGGCAGCCGCCGGCACAGCCAGGACGGTGCGCTCTCCCACGCCGAGCCCACGGGCACGGCCGGGCAAGTTTTCCACGGGGTGGACTACAAACCTGCTACAGCCTCCATCCCCACCACGGCCTCCAGCCCTGGCACGCTGCCCGAGGAGGAGACGCTTCCCTAGAGCTGCCCAGGGGGGAGCAGGAGCCACTCACCTGCCCTGCTCCTTCGTCTCCCTCCTCCTCTTCCTCCTCTGTTCCCCCGGCTCAGGAGCGCTGGGGGTGGCAGCACCTCGGAGCAGGGCTGTGCCTGAGGCCAGCCTGCTGCTCCCATGCTGGGGAAGGCACCTTACATCGTTCTGCTGAATCTGGGATAAAACTCGGTGCTGTAGGACACGCACAATCCCCAAGAGCCAACAAGGACGAGCCGCTCCGTGGTGACTGTGAACCAACAGGGGTTGGGCTTGTCCCAGCCAGGCTGGCTTAGCTGGTCCTGAGGGTATCCCTGCCATGAATAAAAATGTCTGTCCCTCAGAAGTGGTGGCCAAAGCAGTTGTTCTCCTGCTCCTCGGGCACAAAGCTGCCAAGAGCGGAGTAAGGGCCGCATCACCCCCGGGAAGGCGCCACTCCCGTGGGCAGCTCCGGGCTGGGTTTGGGCCGGCCGTGGTGACAAAGCACCGGCTGCAGGCTCAGGCCACTGAAAATCAGAGCAGCCCCTGGAGCTGGGCGTGAGCTGGAGGGTTGTTTTTGGGACGTGTGGGATGTTACAAGGTCTGAGCTACCCAGGGAAGGGCTTGTGCTTGCACCCAGCAAGTCAACGGCAAAACTCTTGCTGCGTTCAGGCGCTGGATGCAGGTGAGCAAGGAGGAGAGCTTAATTATCTCCCTGTAATCACGGGCTTTAAAAAAGTAAATGAATTCTTGATTTAATATGGGCTACTGAGCGCAGGCCGGCACACCCAGAGGTGTGAACATCCCCGGGGACCCACGGGTGGCAGAGCCCTTTGCAGCCGTGGGCTGCCAGGGACAGACTGGAGCAATTTAAACGTGTCACGAGTTTTGAAACCAGGTCAGAGGTGGTGGAGATGGTGGGGGGAGAGGGATCAGCCAGGACAGATGCCCTCGAGCCCCCTGGCCACCCCTCTCCCTACCCCTCACCCTACGTAAGCCTCCCCGCAGGTGTCAGGGCCATTGCAGACGGATGTGATTGTCGTTAATTACACTCATTAGCCGAGTGGGGACAAGAGCACGTGCTTGGTGCGGGCAGCCACCGCGGCGAAGCGCAGGGCTGAGGATCCAGCCGGGCAGGCAGAGCCCAGCGTGGGCTGCCAGCAATTCCTGCCCAGCCAGAGGAAAACACCTGAGCAAAACAGCTGAATAAAGGAGAGGAAAAACACCGCAACCATTGATTAAACAATAACATTAAATGGCAGAATATGATCTCGTTTATCGCCGTAATATGTCGTGTTCTGCTGTGACTCAGGCGGCACTGCAATTTCTAAGGCCATCAGCGGTAACTGAGCATTAGCCAGGATGAATAATTAACAATAATTTCATGGCAAATGCACTCATAAGTAACATTAACTTTGAACATGCAGCTTGATCTGTTACGGGTTTTGCTTTATTTAGAGGGTGCGAGGATTATTTTTTCCATGAGCCCTGACAGCCCCGGCGCTCACTGTCTCTGCTGCGGTGGCACAGGGCGAGGCGGGGGGATGCTGTCACCGTGTCCTTTCAGCCCGGGGCTGGTCTCGGTGGCAGGTCGCTGTGCCTGCTGCCACTTCGCAGGACGCCTGACCCCGAGAACCCAACCCAGTGAACCGGGTCCTACCCGAGACTCTCTCGGGGCAGAGCCCAGCTCCTTCCCGCTGCACCGGAGGGGAGGCAGAGGGGCCGCAGGGACCCGACCCGCTGCCCCACGAGGGTGGGGATGGTGGGGGGGCCCTGGGGGGATCCCTGCCACCAGCCCGGGACCCTCTGACAGGTCCTCGTGCTGCGTTTGGAGACCTTTGGGGTAAGAGAGGCAGGCGGTGAAATACAGGTGGGTTTCTTCCATCTCTTTTTAAGTGAAGCTGCTCTGATCTCAGCCTTCCTTCTGTCCACTCCCGTCGCTGTGCTTGCTGGATTATCCACCTGAAACTTTTCTTTACCGAAGCCTTTAACATAACAGAATACAAGTTGTTCTTTCCGTGCAAGCCATCGCCTCTGATGTAAAGAGCCAGGGCAGGGCTGTTTGTTCTCAAGCGAGCTTGGCCGCTCTCGAGCCGGGCTGCCCTTGATTAGCAAAACCCCGAGGTGTTGCCCAGCCGCACGCGCAGAGATGAGACCCAGAGCAGCCACCCTGCCCTCCTGCCCCGCTTCCACACATCAAAGCGGCTGCGGAGGTGCTGCCCGTTTTGAGAGACCCGACGATCCAGTTGCCATTTGTTGTCCTGCTGCTTTATCTCGCTCAGAGCAAGCGTCGCAGCCGCTCTGCAAAGCTCCGGGTGTCTTGCACCATCCTGGCGTGGGCTCAGCAGAGGCTGAGCGGACAAACAGGAGCGTTTGGCTGCTTCTTTTTGATGTGTGTCTGTGCTCTGCACCAAGGGGAGCGGGGGCTGCCCCTGCTGCTGTGGAAATGGGGGGGCTGGAGGCTGCGTCACCTCCTGGGACGCAGAGCGCTGGGTTAAGAGGCAGGACCGGTGTCAGTGTGGGAAAGGAAATAAGCTGGGGGATGTCACAATAAAAGCTGATTTTTTCCCAGACTTTGCACCATCATGTATTTGCTTCTGGGGTGCCCAGAAGGCCCCCTAAATTTAGGGGATTTAAAATCAAACCATCACTAACCCCCGCCCAGTCAGGGATGCGGAGGGGCTGGTGTGCGCAGCGGCACAGGTCGGGGCAGCCTGTCCTTCCCAGTGGGGGCTGGTTTCTTCCCTGCCTGAAAACAGCCTGTCTGCTGGGAATTGAAGAGAAACTCTGATTTACGTCCAGTGTGGAGCGAGCCGGCTCCCAGGACTCCCAGTGCTCACGGGGGAGGTCTCCCAGCCCTGGACGCGGCCCTGGAGCGGGACAGCGGGGCTGGCCGGGGTGCTGCTGGCAGGGCTGGGTCCCGGCAGGCAGCCCCCTGCTGCCTCCTGCCATGCCCCTTCTAAAGACACTTTGAGGTTTTCTTGCTGGTTTGGTGGCCGCCTGCTCCGCTGCTCGGGGTTTTTCTTTATGGAGGACCCAAGGTCGGGGCACTGGAGGTCGCTGGGTGTTTGTAGTGTTGACACCTGGCACTGCAGCCTGTCACCCATCACCCCACCGAGCTGAGGGGGTGACAACAGGGTGACGTACCCCAAGCAGGTCCCCGAAGCTCCTCCGAGGTGTCCTGAGAGCTGCCGAGCCGTGTTGGCACCTTGTCCCTGTGCTCACGCCGGAGCAGTTGGCAGAGGGATGGCAGACGGGGGCGCGGGGACTTGCCCTGTGCTGAGACACCCGAATACCCAGCTCAGCACTGCAAACCACCAAAACACGCCGTGTTTCTGTTCCCCACCCAACTGCCTTAGGGGAAATCTTCTGCCCATGCCAAAAGGCACCTGAACTTTCTCGCTGTGGCCTCTCCTGAAACTCCAGGTGAGAGGCTGCTGGGGGGGCCCAGCCCCAACTCCTCACCTGGCCCTTACAGGGTCCTACAGCGGCTGCTGTCACAAGAGACCAGACCTGCCGGGTGGTTCTTGACGTCTTCCCCCTCTCTGGGGTTTTTCATCTCGAAAGCCACAGCCCCCAGATTCCTGCCGGAGCTCCCGCCACGCCGGCTCTCGACAGCATAGCTCAAATTCCTGATCCTGCCGATACAGGACGGGGCGCAGGCAGCTCCTGGGTGAGGGGGAGGCTCCCGGCTGCTCCGGAACCTCCCTTTGCTCTTGTCCGGGATGAGGGTGCCTGTGCCTGCCCCCTCCTCCAGGCTCACCCCATTCTGCACCCCCAGGCTCCCACAAAGGTTTGCTTTGGGTGTCTTGGGCTCCTGTGGCCACTCCTGTGGCCCAGCCAGGCAAACCCCCCCCCCAGACTTTATTTGTCCTCCTGGAGCCCAAAAGCTGCTGGGTGAGCAGCTCCTTGTCTGCCACGAGTGCAGAGAACAAACCTCTCAGGGCATCGAGCACCCATCGAGCGCTCTTCAAATGAGTCCCCGTGGGAAGGGTGGCCCCGGCCAAGCAGCGTGGGGGGGTCCGTGGGTCTGGGAGCACCCGGGAAAATGCTGTCATGGTGCCCTCGGCCCCGGGGTGATGCCAGGGAAGCCTCGGGGCAGCCAAGAGACCTGGTAAACCACGGGTGAGTGGAAACACATTCCTGCCCGGGCCACGTCTGCAGAGGCGTGATGGGGGGAGGCCACCAGGGAGGGGCTGACTCAGCTTTGGGGAAATGAGCATCCTGCTTAGGGGCACACCCTGGGTCCCCCCTGCGTGGGGACCCCTCTGCCACTCTCTGCCACCCGGTCAGTGCCACTCTTTGGGAGAGGTCTCACCCCGGCCCCCGGCGCTGGCTGGGCGGTGTCTGCAGGTTGGAGATAGCGAGGAGATGAGCTGTTGCAAAACTGTTACTAAGGTAAAACCATTGAGAAAGTAGGTTAGAATTGCGTAATTTGTGATTCTTAGCAACGGCTGCTGGCTGACCCACGCCTGGGGGATGGTGGGAGCCCGGTGCTGATCCCTGGCCGCCCTGGTCTCACTCGGGGTTTGCCGTGCCCAGCGCTGCCCGTGCCGGGGTCAGAGCATCACCTGGCAGGAGCCGCTGGCCCCGCTTGCAGAGGAATTTGTCTCCGCTGATCTCACGGCAGGATTTGACCCGCCTTTATTGTTCAACCCGAGCGTGTGTGTGCATGTGCGCAGGCAAGAAGCTCTACGGGACCTGTTTGCCAGACTCACCCAGTGACTGGGAACCTGGGAACAGCACAAACTACCCTTCCCCTCCCCACACACGCTCAGCGCTGCGGACAGGACCTGGGCACGCAGGAGGGCTGCAGGCGACGCCGCCGGGGCCGAGATTCCCGCTCCACAAGCTGCCGGGATTCAGCCACCTCCCTCTGGCCCTTTCCCGGCTGGGCAGGTACCTCCGGCACGCGGGGTGCTCACAGGGGGCTGGGGACCCGCAGATTTGGGGGGACAGACCCCGCGGTGCTAACAGGGTGCAGGTGGGAGCTGTGTTACGGCTGGGGCTGCTGTGCCTGTGGTAGCCAAAGGTGGGGACCCCGACATCGCGCAGTGCCGCGTCGGGACCCCACGGGCAGTGTTGGGGTCCCTGACCCACGGGGCTGCACGCCTGGGGGGTGATGCCGGGGGAAGGCACGGCATGGCACCCCGAGGAGCGGGAACGGCCACCCCAGGCCCTGCTCCTCTCTCCCACCGTCCTCCCCAGGGACCAAAAGAGGCTGAGGGCCCCCCAAAAGAAAACACACAGCCCCGCTCTGCTGCATTTGCACCCCAGGCAGGAGCCAGACGCTCTCGGGCCCAACACCCTGCGCCCACACAGGGCAGGACCCGGCGGTGACACACCGGGCTGGCATGCCGGGGGCTGGCGAGGGTGCCGGCCTTCACGGAAGGCAAATCAGCGCTGCGGGCAGAGCCGAGCATGCCTGGAGCGTTGCCCCAGCTCTGCCTGGCTGCCAGCCAGCACCGGCCGGGCTACGGGGCTCCCCGGTGCCGCACGCCACAGGCCAGCTCGGGGCTCAGCACGCAGCTCACGGCCCTCCCCGCCCCGCCGTGGGTCCGTGGCGCTGGGCTGAGCCAGACACGTAGGTGGGTGCTGGGTAGCGTCGCCGCCAGGGCACGGAGAGGGGGGCGTCGGGAATTGGCAGGCTGGGGACAGGCCCTGGGGACATACGGGGGGCTCCAGCCATCGGCACCAGCTTTTGGCTGAGGAGGGGAAAGCAGCAGCTCCCCTCCGGATTTTGAAACGAAGGGCGAGTGGGCACGCTGCCATCGCTCCCCACCCTGGCTCGCTGCTGTGGGTTGGCCGGGGGGAAGATCTGCTGGGTTCAGATGGGGCAGTGAGTGGAGGTGTGTGGGCACGGGCAGAGGCCCTGCCCTGGCGTTGGCACACGCGGACCCCAGCTCGGCCCCGCTCGGCCCAGCCGCACTTCTTGGTGCATCCCTGGGTCAGTGGCGTAGGAGTGTGGCGGCTTCGGGGCTTGTTGTGGGGTAGCCCCGGCCAGCGACGGACTCCCAGGCAGCCCTGCGGGCTCTGGGCAGTGCTGCAGGCTCTGTTCCTTCCCCGCAGCCCCGGGACGCCTCGCACAGCCCTCCCCGGACGAGGGGACCCGGTGTGCCATCGCGCCCCGGCCATGCCCCGCGCCGGGCGCTTCCCACCCCGCAGCCCCCACTGAGCGGGAAGGAGCCTGAGCCTCCTCCAGGTACGTCTTGGAGGGCACCGGGTCGGCACCAGGCAGCGGCTCCTCGGGAGTGGGAACGCGAGAGCACGGTGCTGAGCCACCTGAGGAGCTGGGAAGGAAGGAATTAGCGCTTGGGGTTGAGCAAATTTTTCCATTTGACCTGAAATTGAGCTGCCTGTGGGCTCCTGGGCTGTCCTGTACTCCCCGGGCAGGCTCTGCAACAGCCAGAGACAACTAATTTGTCTGAAAAAAATCTTTTTCTTACACAAAACAACTCTTTTAGAAAACACAGAAATAAAATATTGAGGCTGGTGATATGTGGGACGTGTTTCCCCTGGAAGCATTTGCCAGCCATGGTGCCACCTCCCCAGCCCCAGACCCAACCTGCTGGGCCAGCGGCAGCTCCTGTGGGGCTACGGCAGGTTCCTCCAGCCGGAGCCGCGGACCCGCAGCACCTCTGAGGCTCTGGACCGTTCCTGCGGCCCGCAGCGCGTCCTCGCTGTTGATCCTCTCAAAACCAGACAAATCCCTGCCGAGGCAAAGGGGCTGCAGAAAGCCTCCTCTGAGCATTTCTGGTGCTCAGCTCTGTCCTCCGAGGGCTCGCCCCCCTCCTGCTTACCCCAGGATCACAGGATGCTTTGCTCCGACCGTCACCCCCACTGCCAACCCCCCCCGCGCCCGCGCCAGCGGTGCCGTGCGTGGCTCAGAGCAAGTCCTTCAAATCCAGCGGTGCGGGGACAGACCCAGCTCTGAAACCCTCTGCCAGGGGAGACACGTTTACAGCCAACCGCCACTGACTCACCTCCGGGTAAAAATCACCCGGGGTTTGTAAATCCAGGCGGCAGTGAAGCTCTGGGTCGGGCTTAGCGTGCCACCCTCGTCCCACCGGGCAGCCCCAGGCTGAGCGGAGGAGCCGGTTTAGCCGGCGCGGGGCCTGGGGCTGCCTGCGCTGTGCCAGGAGCAGGTGCCAGACAGACACACGGACTCTTGCTTTCAGTAGCCCCACTCTCACCTGCCTTGGCCTGCCTTGGGTGTCACCCGCGAGAGAGAAAACCAGTCCCTGGCGTGTGCCGGCATCCCAGCGCTGCAGCAGCCGCTTCCCCTTTGGCTCGGCGTTAGCAAGGCACAGCGCCTGGCTTAGCCCATTTTACACACATGGAAACTGAGGCTCAAGGAAGGCTGGGACCACACCTGAGACCCCCAGGGATCTCCCTGATGGGAAAGGTCCTCGTCCATCCCCAAACAGTGCCGGCGCAGGGTGGGCAGGGGAGCGTGGCTGAGCCGTGAGAAACCCTGGGGAGGAAAGAGGATGAGCCTGGGGAGTGGGAAGCGGGAGCTGTGCTGGTCCGGGGCTGCACCCGTGGGAGCCAGCTCAGCCCTGCCCCTGCCAGGGCACTTTCCCATGGGGTCCCACCACAGTTGGGGTTCCCGCTGCCCCCCCATCCTTCCCACTGTGGCTCTGATGCACTGGGGGAACAGGAACCAACCAGTGAGGGCTGGAAATGCTCTGCGGGGTCCCCTCCTGCCCCAAGGGATGTGCGGGCTGGCGGGGCTGGTGTCCACACAAAGCTTTGCTTTGCTTTGCCAAGTGCACAGCCATCCCCGCCTGATCCTGGCCTGCGCCAGGCGACTGAGCCACTGATTTACACCAACATGTGTGATCAGGCCGGGGGCTTGGCAGCGGGGACTCGGCCAGGTGGCTCATCCCTCTCATCAGGAGGTACAGAGAGGCTGAGTCACCCCTGACTCACCCCAAGAGTAAAGTAAAAGTCTGGGCATGAGTGTCCATGAGTGGGATGGTCCCCCCCACCCCAAATGAGTGTAACATGGTGGGGGAGAGAGTCTGGGAGGTCAGTGATGAGATGAAGTGCAGCAAGAGAGGAGCTGCCCCGTTGCCGTCTCCCACCGCTCTTCACCCGCCGCTTCTGCTGCTGTTTCCCCAGGTCGGGTGACTCTGGTCTCCGCCACCCGCCATGGATTGGAAAACGCTGCAGGCGCTGCTCAGCGGGGTCAACAAGTACTCCACAGCCTTCGGCCGCATCTGGCTCTCCGTGGTCTTCGTCTTCCGCGTGCTGGTCTACGTGGTGGCAGCCGAGCGCGTGTGGGGAGACGAGCAGAAGGACTTTGACTGCAACACGCGGCAGCCGGGCTGCACCAACGTCTGCTACGACCACTTCTTCCCCATCTCCCACATCCGCCTCTGGGCCCTGCAGCTCATCTTTGTCACTTGTCCTTCCCTCCTGGTCATCATGCATGTGGCCTACCGGGAGGACCGTGAGAAGAAGAACCGGGAGAAGAACGGGGAGAATTGCCCCAAGCTCTACAGCGACACGGGCAAGAAGCACGGCGGGCTGTGGTGGACCTACCTGCTCAGCCTCTTCTTCAAGCTTATCATAGAGATCCTGTTCCTCTACCTCCTCCACAAGATGTGGGACAGCTTTGACTTGCCTCGGCTGGTCAAGTGCTCCAACGTGGACCCCTGCCCCAACACTGTGGACTGCTACATCGCTCGGCCAACCGAGAAGAGAGTCTTCACCTATTTCATGGTCGGAGCCTCCTCCATCTGCATCGTCCTCACCGTCTGTGAGATCTTCTACCTCATCTTCAAGCGGGTTGTCCGGAGTACACGGAGGTGGAAGAAGTCCCTCAAGCGCTCCATCAGCTACAGCAAGACCTCCACCTGCCACTGCCACCTCAAGACAGAGGAGAAGGACAAGTCCCAGACGAGGTGCGTGGCAGCCCTGGGGGCCTGACTGCTGTCTGACAGGGTGCTGGGAGGGGAAAAGGGAAGGGAGGGAGCAGTGTCCTGGCGTGACCACCAGGATGCCATCACCAGACTCTCCACCCAGGACCTCGATGGCTGTAAGGGAAGGGGGACACATCCACGGGAACTCTCGGTGGCAGGTTGGGTGCCGGGCAGGCCTGAGGGTTCTGTTCTTCCCACAGAGGAGAGGAGCTGTGAGCTCGCCCGTCCCAGCTGGCTCGCCTTCCCCTCGGCCCAGCAGCTTTTCAAGCCTGCCAAGTCCCTGAACCCTCAAGAGTCGACACGTGTGAAAAATGACTAAACCCAACAAACTAAAGTCCCCCGAGAGAGGCCCACGGGTGCCCGAGCAGGCGCAGGTAAGGCGAGGGCAGCCCTGGAGCTCTGCTGGATGCGCACAGCGGTGCCGCGGGGCTCGGCCATCACACCGACACAGACACCGTGCACGAGCGGCCGCGCTGCCCAGCCTGGCAGCGAGCCCAGCCGAGGACTGCAGGGACAGAGCCATCGAGCTGGGAGGGCTCACGGGACTGGCGGGAGGGAGCGTGGGGGGGTCCCGTGTCCCAGCAACTTCTCTTGGGTCCCTCCAGCCCTGCAGCTCCCGTGCTGGGTGTGAATCCACCGGTCGGTGCCCAGTCAGGGCTGGTGTCACCCAGCAGTGACAGTGCTCCTGGCTCGCTGCGCCTCGCACGGGCACAGCCCCAAGCACTGGTTCCTCCTCCTTCCTTCCGTACCAAGAAACCAAAGAAACGCTGGGCTCGGTGCCATGGCCAGGGCCCTCTTCATGCACCCAAAGCACTCACGGAGGAGCGGGGCTCCCGGCAGTCACCAAGTGCTCAGTTTGCCAGTACTGGGGCAGGAGCAGATTTTCCCCCTTTGCTCACGCACACGCCGTGCCGGTGTCCTGCCCAAGTGCCCTTTCCATCTCTGCTGCCTCCCCCGGTGCCTCTGCCTCCCCTCGCCTCGGTCCGACCTGGCACTCACGGCATGAGCTGCGGATCCAAAGGGCCGATAAATGCCGTGTCGTTTGTAGACTCTGGGATCTGCTCCGCACGCTGTAAATCGGGACGGGGGGGGGGACTGGTGAGGGCAGAAGAAATGGATTCGCAGAGGTTCCCCAGGAGCCCGTGGCTGAGCCCTCCTCGCTCCCGCCCGAGCCGGGGCAGCGCGGGTTGAGCCCCAGGGCCGCTGTGCCCAGCGCCCGCCCGCTCTGCCTCCTCCCGGCTTGTCACGCGTCATTAAACTTTAATTCATCAGAACTGCACGCTGGCCCCCAAGGAAATCAAGGAGGGATCAGCATCAATTATTTACTAAATCTTGATAAATATTACAATAAATAGCAATGATTTCCATTTAATCTCTCCTTAAGCAGCGCTGCGCGCAGGGTCTGCCAGCTCGCCAGCCGCCGCGTTTCCAGCTCCCCCAGCCCCACAAGCGTGTCGTGGTGGGCACGGACAGAGCCAGGGCTCGTGCCGCTGCGAGAGGCCGTGACAGCGGTGCCCACGCTGCTGGGAGGGTGACATGTCTCTGCGCTGGGACACAGAGCAAGTGCTTCCAGCGTGGGCTGCTCCCATGGGCACCTCAGGTCACCTGTGTCACCCGTGGGGCCAGGCCTGGGCACCCTGTGCCAGAGGACAGATGTGCCAGGAGGTTGAAGAGCAGAAGGTGTCTGACTGGGAAGTGGCTCGGGCACCAGTGTGGGTGTGATTTGGGGCGCTGGGGACCTGTGGCTGGTGTGGGTGAAGCCCGTGCTGGTCCTTCTGGTGGGCGAAGCACGGTGGGAGCGGGCGCATCCGCGGGGAAGGGCGGCTCCTCAGGGTGGTGGCTTCCACCCATCGAGGGCTGGCGGGGCACAGAGCGTCACTGGGGACAGACACCGAGGGGGGACACCGGCTTGGGCGGCCACAACCGGGGGGTGCTGGGAGGGGGAAGCGTGGGTCGGGTGGGCGCTGGGCTCTGCAGCTCGCACGCAGCAGCACGCGGGCGTTACCTGAAGCACAATTATTTTATATTAAACATAACGATGCTGTTCCGGCTCTGCCCTCCGCTCGGGCCCAGCACCGCCTGCGCGGAGGAAACGCCACGTCTCGGGGTGGGAGAGGCCGCAGGTCCCAGCTGTGTGCGTGGACTGGCCCAGTTTCTGGTTTCGAAAGCCCGAGCCCTTCGCCCCCGGCTGGCCCCACGCAGCCCACGCCAAGCGGCAGACAGCGAGTGGGGGGCACACACAAGGTTTTTGCCCCCCCGAAGCCAGCAGGACTTAAGCCTGTGCATAAAATACCAGCATCTGCCCCCCCGCTGGCCCCTTCTCCCTGTCGTGGTGCCTCCGCACCCCCCGCACCGCCTCGTCTGAGCCCCCCCTCTCCCCGCCAGCA